CAGCCATTCAGAAGACATTATCTCAGCCAGAATCTCCACCTTTAAATCCAGATTCAATTTCCTTTTAAAATTTAGAGAACAAGTTGTGCAATTAAAGTTCAGTATCAAAATGGAAATCTTAGTATATATCTAATTTTGAACATATGTGAATGAGACTGTGAACATAACAATTACTTTACTGCAGTCATAAACATCTTTCCACTTTGAAATTACATTTTTAGGTTAATTCTGTGAAAAGGAATTGCTCAGCCTTCATAACATAAAGACAGTGGAAGTCAGCTTTGTATCCTCCAGTTGTGCCAGATGACAGACCCCATCACTTCAACGGTCAGAAATTAAAGGAATTGTTATTTCATATACATGAGCCAAATGAGAAAGGGGCCATAGAATGTGTAAGTTTGTGTGTGCTTATGCATGCCTTCTAATCAACGTTGACTCTTAACATTGAGACTAGTAGGAGTTTTACCATCTCTCTCTCTCTCTCTCTCTCTCTCTCTCTCTCTCTCTCTCTCTCTGTGTGTGTGTGTGTGTTTGCACTCCTTCAAGTCAGACTTGACTCCTGTCAACTACCTGGACAGATCCCTGTAGTTTTCTTGGCAAGATTTCAGAAATGGTTTGCCATTGCCTACTTCCTAGGGCTGAGAGGGAGTGATTGGCCCAAGGTCACCCAGCTGACTTTTTGCTTAAGGCAGGACCAAATGTAGGGTCTCTCATTTTTAGCCTGAACTACTAAATCAAACTGGCTGTTATATCACTGGGCACATTATTAACCCAAATATATTATAATTTCACAAAGAAGAAATTATATTTCAATGATTATCAAATATTTCCTGGCTAAAGAGGAAGCTTCAAGCATAAAAATGTTATTAAAGAATAGCACAAAAATCTTTGGAAAGTGGTTAAATTTTGCTGAGTTTTCATTAGGATTCAGAAAGAAATTTAAGACTGTGTGCAGGGGAATCTCTCTTCATGTCATTGTGCTATTCTGAAGTTTTTGCTAGTATTTATAAGTAGCCCTGTGCTTAAAATATCACCAAGGCAAAGTGATAACCTAAGATGCTGTATGGGGCTGAGATCTGGTGGTGGGATGAGAAGGTTATTGCTGAATTGGAAGTAATCCAAAACAACTTCAGAGGTAGGGTTACTTTCCATCACCATCCGAGATCATGTTGCATTTTTTGAAGCACAATAAGAAAAGACTAAAAAGCCTTTAATAATCCACTTTGTCAAAATCTGTTTTCTCAGTTGGACGAAACTTTTGTCACCCATCCTACAAATGTTCTAAAAATGGAGATTATCTATCATCCAGATCATGGTTGTCCCAAAAGTGCTTTTTCCAAAAGGCAACTGAACTTTCTTGGGTTTTTTTTTTCCTTTGAAAACATTTCATTTCCCATCCAAAAAGCTTCTTCTGACTGGTGAGGAATGGAAGCAGAGGTAGTATTCAAGCAGGTTCTGACCAGTTCTGTAGAACCGGTAGCGGAAATTTTGAGTAGTTCAGAGAACCAGCAAATACCACCTCTGACTGGAGATTTTACAGTATCCTCCCCCTGCCACACCCACCAAGCCACGCCCACAGAACCGGTAGTAAAAAAAATTGAATCCCACCACTGAATGGAAGGATTTATATTCTTTGCAGTCTTCTGGTCCTTAGCTCTCTGAGAGTAGTCGAGGCAATTTGGGGGTTTATCTGTATCCTTAGGGTCACCTGAATCAGAGTGACTGAAGTCCCAAGAAGGTTTCACACCCATTTACACTCTGATTCAGGTGAAATAAGGACTGCAGTAAATCCTCCATTTTGGATATTTATACAATTACCCCAGAAGCTCAAATATTGAGCAAATAGTTAGTTTTTAAAAATAAAGTGAACTTCCCAAGGATTTATTACATTCCTTTAAAGGATTTAGCCACAGTTCTAATGTCACTGGAATTATTTGATTCAGTTGATTCTGTGAATCCACTGAGTCCGTGGGTTTCCTTTATAATTGTATAAAAATATAAGGAAAGTATAAACATATATAAAGAAAGGTTGGCTCCTATGTTGTTAGAGATATGCTGTCTTCAAAAATGGGGATTTCCCTTACAGTTGTGTAAGACTTATATGGTGGTTATCTTAAGAACAGAAGAGAATTCTACAAATTCCAAATGTCCAAAAAACCCAGTAAAATGGGGGTGCAATTTTTTTTGGCAAATTGAGCATGTTGTTTACCAAAGGTTCTGTTATCAATTAGACATTCTGTACAGTCTTGTTTTTTGAAATGGTACCAACTTCTGATAATATCAGATTACTGATGGACATTCCAACAAATCTTGAAATAGCTTTGGTAGCTTTGTTTGTTTTATTCTACTCTGACTGGTTACAAATGAGTTATTCTCCTCTGCTCCCCCATCTCCTCCCCCACCACCAATGGATATGATGAAACTGTCAAGGATTTCTCTGGTCTTCTAGTGCAGTGGTCGCCAACCGGTGGTCCGCAGCCCACTGATGGTCCGCAAGAAAATTTTGGTGGTCCGCAGAAAAATATCACCCCCAGAGCACCCCCTAAAGCAATTAAATCAGGCTGCATGGGAACACAAGGCTGCGCCACCCACATGGCCAGCCCGCGGGAACACAAGGTTTGCGTTGGAACAACAAGAGGTAGTGAGGGGAGGGGGGGAAGGGTGGTCGGGGGGGGGAACTTGCCTGGCCACTGCGCTGCTTCTTTCCACTCCTTTCTTCTTCTAAGCAGGTTAGGAATGTGGCTGCCTTGGAGGGTGTGTGTGTGTGTGTGTGTGTGTGTGTGATCTCTGTGTTAGATCGGATCTCACTTTCCCCCTCCCCTGAGAACGGAGCTCAAAAGTAGGAATGTGGCTGCCTTGGAAGGGGTGGGGTACGTGAGGGATCTGTGTGTGTGTGTGTGTGTGTGTGTGTGTGTGTGTGAGAGAGAGAGAGAGAGAGAGAGAGAGAGAGGTTAGATCAGATCTCTCTCTCTCTCTCTCCCACCAATGTCAGCAAGCCACCATCAATCAAAATTCATATTAGTGGTTCAGGTGATTTAAAATTATGAGTTTGGTGGTCCCTGAGGTCCAAAAAGTTGGCGACCCCTGTTCTAGTGTTATGGTAATGAGCCACCCTTTCTTAAATGGGATAACATACCTATGCAGCTAGGGTACAAACCTATCAATCTAGGCACAGCATTTTTGTTGCTGTGTCTTCAAATCAGTCCTGGCAAGTGCCTGGATAAGTCCCAAAAGTTTTCTTGGCAATATTTTGGAAGTGATTTGCCTTGCTATATAAAATTCTGATCAATGTTTGTATCAGAAATAAGATAGCAGAAGATATCAATTATATGAGGGAGATTTCCCAGTTGATGAAGATTAGTTATAATGTATTGAAGAGCAACGTAAGTAGAACACTTATAAGTTCATGTGTGAAAAGGACTGTTTATCTGTTTTAAAGAAACTTTTAAGAAATTTCTGAAGAATTATCAACTTCCCACTATTTCCAGTAGATGGCAGCAATGTATCATAAAACCTTGTTTTGTCCATTGGTTAAAGTTAACACTAATTTGCTAAAGGCCTCTGCCAGCTTCTGGAACAGCTAACTTCTCTTGCCTTTGGGAGCAGCCCAGGTACCTCATCTGTAGACAAAATATGTTTTCTGAGGGCACTTAAATCATTCATCCCTGTCTGTTTATATGCCACATCGGTACGTACTGTCTGCAATCAGGATTTAGAGAGCAAGCAGCTGCAAGGATGGGTCGAGTGAAGAAACGAAGGTTGAAAGAAATAACCTTCCTACACCCCAGGATTTATTTATTTATTTATTTTACTACAAAGTTACAGTGATTAACCTAACTGCAAAAAAACTAGGGGGCCTGCCCTATTATAAGGCAAAAGTATTGGAGGAAGGCAGAAAAATGTGTGGTACATAATCTTGTGTGTGTTCTCATTGTCAAACTTCAAGGAAATTCTACCCCAAATCCTCTATATCTGGAATGGGGATATCTACCATACTATCCCACAACCTTGGGATGCAAAATTTCTCCGACCATTTATAATGCTGCACCTCATTTTAGCAAATAAAGCTAGTGTTTCATTAAGGAAAAAAATTCATTATGAAAGGCAAAAAGAAGTATTTATAAATCTAGTACCCCTCCATATCTCACTCCCACCATTATCCCTGGATTGTTCAGTTTGCCCCTGCAAAAAACATTGTGCACAATTAAGAATCCCACACATTACACAGACTGTCATGAATGAGAGTCTTTTAATTGTGCCCAGTGTTTTTTTCAGAGTCAAACTGAACAATCCAGGGATGGAGGTGGGAGTGAGATGTGGAGATTTGTAAAATCATGATTTGTAGGGACAGACTAGAAAACCTTCTAAAAAATCTAGACTTAAGATGATTCAGATATTTTAAGTGTAGTTATATATGTCCATTGAAATAACCTCCAAAAGTATTGTTTAAACAACAAAATGTAAGTCCAAAAATGCTCCTAGTTTTAAGGCTTAAAGGATCTAGCTCATCTAAGAACATTAAAGTTTAAGCCCTACCCCATGGCTTCACATAATTTTTTTTTGAGTAGCCTTTCCTTAAGGACTTAAATGGAGTCTAATTTATTCCCCTCCCTACTCCTTTTTTTTTTTCCAGTGAGGTCTTTGAATCAAATGGGCGAGAGGAGGAGGAGGAGAGAAAAGCTGGTCATGGCCCTTAAAGGGAGCAGAGTTGACAAAGCAACAATTTCTACAAGCAGAAAGGAAAGTCCAAGGACAAGCAAGATGTCAGTTAAGCTCATGGAAATTTAGCACATGGAGAGAATATGCTCCCCATATATTCAACTAACTATTTTGTTAGCTGAGTTTTTAAAAGATAAAATAGTCCAAGAATAGAAATGGATGAAAGCTAGTAGAAAGGAAGGTTTTCTCAGATACACTATTGGACCCTGGATAGTTCTGCCTGTGTGCATTCAGAACAATGAATTCCTCATCTTCTGATATATGTTCTCCTTTGAAGCCATGCAGCTGCCCTGAAGTAAACTGGGCTTTTCGGAAGTGTGATCACAGTAGCCTATCTTGAGGTAACTACAGTTTTCTGTCCTAAAAAAACCATGAATTGAGAGATCTGACCTTTTAGTTGGGGTTGGTTTCTTCTTGCTGCTATCCCATCCCATTGGATGAGATTGTAGGGTTTTCTGCATCTAAAAATATGTAGCCAGCAGAGACTTAATTGGTAGGATTTAGCTATTTGATATACAATAAAAGTCAACAGTATTGTTTTTCAGATAGATTGCTTGTTAGACGACATGGACTAGAACTGGTGATTGATGCACATTAACACCAATGAAGGAGATCACAAGTTTCTGGAACCCAAATGTTGGCTGAGAAGTGTAATTGATACCAATAGAAGAGAATATTTGTAGCTATTAACTGGGAGGACTTTAGTGGTCTCTGAGCTTGATTATCTTCTTGCAGACATTTCATTACCAAACTAGATAACATGCACTGATGATGTTACCTAGTTTAGTAATGAAACTTCTGCAAGAAAACCACCAAGCTCAGAAGGACCAAGGACTCTGCAGGATAATTAGAAAAGCACAATACATTTTTATAATGGGATGTGCTCCATATGTAGGGCTAGCTTGGTTAGATAGCTTGGTATGGTTTGGGTGCATGAATGAGATTTATTTTTGATGGTTAGGTGCTGAGGTAAAATTGGGGACAAACGATAAACACTTCTTTGTTTTAAAAAAAAGCTGGCCTTTGATATTTAATTTCTTTATTGTTTGGAGTTTTTTTTAAGAAGAAAACAGAATAGAAAAAAGTGAGAAAGCAATGCAATTAAAACAAGGTAAATTGTATGTAAGGGTTTCTTATTCTTTGTGTGTGTGAATCTGTGTGAATTTTTAAATGTCAGCTTTAATAAAAGAAAAAATCACTATAATCTATAATACGATTATGAATATAATAAATAATAAAAATAATAAATGTTATTATGGAACTGTATTTCATTATAATTTCCTGTACTTATAGGCAACTTTCACGATCAAGTCTTTAATTCACTGGGTACATTTGCAGTTCCAAGACAGAAATCCTTTGACAGCAGTAAGTGCTTGGAGAGAGCCCATTTCTGCTTCCAGTTGCCAGTTTCCACGCAATAGCTATGTAAGTTAAAAGGATATGTGCATCAGAAAATATTACATCTTCAAATTAATATATGTATATTACTTCTTTACAGAACATCGTAATTTTAGGACATGCAAAAATATATTGTAATGAAGTGTTGTTTATTTATTTAGAAAATTTATATGGCCACCCAACTCACTCTTGGTAACTCCAGGCGGCTTATGGGGCTAAAATCCCAGTACAAAACAAGAATAATTCTTCCTGCATTACCAACAACGTGATGATTTACTCATTACTTTTCTATATACATGCAATGCAGTCTAGTGAAGGCATCTGATATTAAGCACCACAATATCAAAAAGAGAACAGAACTTTTCATTAGAAGGAAATAGTTATGGGGTGTTTATATTCAAATCAGGAAGAATAAATACTGTGAATGAGATAGAAAGAATTCATACAACCTAACCAGGACACAAATCATGAAGCTACTCCAATACTGCCAATGGACTTCCTTCACATTCAAAAGAGAAATGTCTGAGCAAATAAAAGGGGCACCCATGGGACCCCCCCCCCCATATCAGGTGTCATTGCAGAAACTGTCCTGCGTGATCTAGAACACTGCATTTCAAAACTACACATCTACATTTTCGTGCCACTACGCGGACAACACGCTTGTCATCATCAAAAGAAATGAAGTTTTATACCCTATTGAACTCCATCTTCCCAGACATACAATTCACAATGAAGGAAGAAACAGCTAGACAATTACCATTTTTAGACGTGCTCATCAGCAGGCAGGAAGATGGAAGCCTAGAAGCCACTGTTTATCGTAAGGCCACCAACACTCCACACACTCTTAATTTCAACAGTAACCAACCACGGTCACACAAAAAGAGCGGCATCAGAACACTATATGGCAGAGTGAGAACCCACTGTAGTAGCCAGCATGCTAAACAGCTGGAGAGAAGGCACAGTACCTAACATGAACAATTGAGGCATAATGAGATTTATTGCAAGATGCCTGAGCAAAAATCAAAGAAGAGAAAAGAAAACAGAAGTTATAAGATCAACTACATGGGACACCCTGCCATACATCAAGAAATATTTTGGAAGTAGTAGAATGCAGTTTCCAAGATCTACAAGTGGGCATCGCATATGAGGACAAATTATGCATTGTAAAGATTGCTTGGAAGTGGGAGCTACTTCCAATGTAATCTACTGGATCCCCTGCATGGATTGCCCCTGTGACTATATAGGACAAACAGGGAGGAAGCTAGCCACTAGATTGCAAGAACACAAACGAGCGGTCAGAGGAGGAGACCCAAACTCATTGGTAGCCTCACATTGCAATGAGCAAGGACACTCATTTAATTTCACAGCTGCTAAGATTGTTGGCCATGCGGGTACAAAGATAGCCAGGGAAATGATTGCAGCTTGGGAAATGGGCCCCTTGCCAATTAACAGGAGTGCTGATTTATCACCTGAGGGCTTGGCAGCAGAAGGAAACAGCAGCCAATCGCCCACCATCAATACACAACAATCAGCCAATAGAAAGGCACCACATAAACACGACTCACAGAACAACCCAAAGCGCATATTCCAGTAGAGAGAAGTTCCTTGAAGATGGGCTCCAGCATAAGTCTGAAAGAGTGACCAATCCAATCTGTCCTGGTGACCAATCCAAATTAAATTTTGCATCATTATCCTGGGACGTCTATATTTGCCTTCATATGTGACCATTCATACAGTTCAGCATGAAATTGGGCAATCTTGGTCCAGTCACTTTCTCTCAGCCCTAGGAAGGAGGCAATGGCAAACAACTATAAGCATCCTGTCCATCATCTCTAAGCTTCTTCCAGTGCTTCTGAGCTAGCTCATTTTGTAGGAATGGATTCAGAAGAACTGAGCCACCAGGAGCACTTTTATTTAAGATTTATTTTCCTTTCTTTAAATAGGCAACAATTCTGATTACCTTTCTGCTTTGTTGGGGAGTCAATCTGTGTGTGTGTGGGGGGGGGGGGAAATGTTCCATTATTCTGCTGTTTTGGCCTTTCAGTCTTGGGCTAAACCATCAGGACCATACAGTTAAGGCACTTACAGTGCAGGTGGCTGACCATTATTAGGCAATAGACCACCAGCACAGAATAAAGCCAAAAGCTGAGACTGGCTGAAGGAGAGAGGAAGGGAGGGACAAGACAAAACACAGCTGTGAACGAAACTGCCATTTGCGATGTTTCCTTTTAATCGAGGGAATTGTACAGATTTTTCTTAATATAATAAAATAAGCAAATGTATACTTGGGAGTGAGATATTTTGGAAAGGTTTAACAGCCCAGATACAATTGCATTCAGTTGCAATGAATGGAACATTTGATCCTTGTCCTTAACCAAAAGATCATGGAAAATTTTAAACCTTTCCAAAAGAACTTCAGATGAACTGAAAGAGAAATATCATCTTCTGTATGATTATGAAATAACATCTGAATGCCATATGACAATTTGAATATGAAGATGAAAGATTGAAGGTTCTTTTCTCAACTAATATTTTTCTCTATGTTTACACTGTTGAACTTCCTTTGTGCAAAGTTGGGAAAACTAAAATAAGGAACTGTTTATTTCCCAATTGGATTAACTGAAGAAATGAAGCTGCCCACAAAATCCCATTATTTATTTTTACCATCAGTCTAAAGAACTTCACAGCGAATGACTGATTAGTTATTGTGTATGAAAAGAAGAACCTAGAATATCACAACTGCTCTCAAAATCTTGCAGAAAAGTTTGCTAGGTTAACAGCAATCGTGCAGTCCTTCTCTACTTCTTTTATAATTCTAGTCTTATATAAATTGGCCCATTGAGAGAGATTCAAAGGGTATTTTATTCTGAAATATTTTATTGGCCTTTAGTAACTTAATTAGATATTTTCTATGATCTTCCAAATGCCAATTTTCTATAATCTCCCAAATGCAATATTCTAATCTCAGTTGCATCTAATCTAATACTTATAATGGTCATACTGTTTTTAATAATTTTTAAATTCTCCTTTGTTCCAAAAGAATGATCATTATAAAAGAATGGTCTTTTTCTGCAACTTTTGTGTGTGTTTTTTAAAATATGAATTGATGGTTACAGAACTTTTTAAAAAAGTCTCTAGATCAAATCCCATTTTGTTCATTTCAACCACAACAAAATCATATGATTTTGGTTTCAAGGAAGAGAATCCAATTAAACAAATGAGTCACAAACATTACACTTGTTTCATTTATTCACTGAAGAATATATTTCAGAGATACTTTCTGGGCCTATAAGATGTCATTTATTAATTGGAGTGATCTGAACTTGCTGTCCATTTACTTTTCTTCTTCATCGTGCATTTTCTTATATTTGCTGTCAGTGGCATAAATTCAGTCAATGCAAGGAGGGTATCTGCCTTGAGATCTGGAGGCTGCCAGTTCTTTAAAAAATTGGCTGTGGTTAGAGACAAATTATGCACTGTCTAAAAAAGAACCTAGATATTTGCTTGGAGCAGCAAAGGAGGAGAAACAGATGGGATCATCAGGCTGCTAGGCAGCACACCTGAAAACCTCAATGTGGCCTGATTTAGGTATTTTATCTAGTGCAGGGGTGTCCAACCTTGGCAACTTTAAGACTTGTGGACTTTGCTGGCTGAGGAATTCTGGGAGTTGAAGTCCACAAGTCTTAAAGTTGCCAAGGTTGGACACCCCTGATCTAGTGTTTATCTGGATTTTGCAGGCCTGGTGCTGATATTACTTGCCAGAGCAAATCCACCCTGCCAAGAGTGCCTAGGGGTATGCCAGAACTGAGCACTAGAACGGAACTTCCTTGGAAATAGTTACTAGCTCTTTAATTTAACAGCTGGTGTCCACTTTGGGCCAGAACTCTATTTTTCTGTGACGTTATGCTTGGTATGTTGACCTTTCTCATAATGTAATCTTCTGTTTTTTAAGAGTTATGAAACTCATAAAGTCTAATTTTTAAATCAAAGACAACATCAGCAAGAAAAGAATGTTCTGCAAGACAACTTCATGCATTAAATATTTGATGAGATCTGAGCTTGAGATATTTGTACAGATGGCCTGTTTATAATTGTGGGATTGATAATCAAGTCTTTTGATCATTCACAATCAAGCATGTATATTTCTGGCTTGCAATTCAAAGTATAATACTAAAATGAAAAACAAAACCAAACACAAATTACTGCAGAAATGTATATTTTCCAATTCCTGCTTACTAGGTTATGCTAAAATGTACAAAAATAGAGAGATTTGCGGGAAAGAATTGGCAGCCTTAACCTATTGCTACTCTAAACAATTGGGTACTTCTCTAGATGTACAGATAAGAGCAGGCTAACTGTCCATTTGGGAATCTGCAGGAATGAGAAATTGCTAGCTCGACTGCAAAGGTTAGCCAAAAGCAGGAAGGTACGACCTTTTTCAGCCATATCCAAAATTATCTAAAAAGGGTTAGGAGAGGCCTTTACGACCTCCCCTTGTAACTCTCATACCTATGGGTTCAGCAACCAAGTCTTGTTTTTGTCGTTTGTTTCTCCCTCTCCCCCATCCAATTCTAAGACCTTGATAAGTCTCTGCAGTTTTGTTGGCATGGATGTTCAAACGGGGCTTCCCATTGCCTCCTTCCTAGGCTGAGAGAAAGTGACCGGCCCATAGTCAGGCATTTGTGTCTAAAGCGGGACTAGAACTCACAATTTCACAATTTCAAGCCTGATGCCTAAACCACTACACCAGGGGTGTCCAACCTTGGCAACTTTAAGACTTGTGGA